AAAGTTAAAAAAAAATTAAAAAATAAAGAATTTTGGAAGCAACAAAAGAGAAGCTATTTGTTACATATGAGGGATTTTCGAGAAGACATTAAGTATATTTGTAGCAGAAACCTTGCAAGGTAGAAGGTAGGGGGATAATATATTCAAAGTGCTGAAAAAAATGACAACCAAGAATACAATACCCACCAAATCTATCCTTCAAAAATGAAGAGGAGATAAGAAAATTTCCCAGGCAAGCAAAACCTATCCCACTTCATCACCACTTGATCTGCCTTACAAGGAAGAAGTATAAGAAAGAAGAAATAGAAAAGAAATTAGATAGCCAAGCAGCCGCGGTGTCTGGGTTCGTGTCTCTGCTCCCAGGGCTATGGCCACTGCGGGAGAAGGCAGAGGAGCTGAACCTCTCGGCTCTGCACAGCCCCACACAGAAGCCTCCAGGTTTCAGCCTGGCCCAGAAGCCATTTGGAGCCACATATGTCTGGAGCAGCATCATAAACACTCTCCAAACGGAAGTAGAGGTCAAAAGGAGAAGGGATCATTTAAAATGGTACAATGACTGCTTTGTGGATTCTGAAGCTGTGGATGTGATTTATTCGCACCTAATTAAAAATAAGTACTTCGTGATGTATCATGATATTCCTCGGGCCAAAGTGGTGAGAGTGTGTCAAGCACTTATGGACTACAAAGTATTTGAAGCAGTTCCAACCAGAGTCTTTGGAAAAGACAGAAAACCTACTTTTGAAGATAGTAGTTGCAGCCTGTATAGATTCACAACAGTACCTAACCAAGACAGTCAATTAGGCAAAGAGAACAAACTGTATTCACCTTCTGGGTACACAGGTACACGATTTAAGTCATCTGATATCAGATTGGACAGTTTGGAAGACCTGTGGGAATATTTGAGTTTACAGCCTGCTAACTCCCCTCGTGTAAATCTCTCTGCAACTCTGTCTCCACAAGTTATTAATGAAGTATGACAAGAAGAAACAGTTGGGTGCCTACTACAAGTTGTATACCTTCCACTTCTTGACTCCTTACTCAAACAGAAAGAGGTTGTATCTAAAGTTCCTCAACCAAAGAGGCAGCCTGACATGATCAACAGCAGTAACTATCTGGATCGAGGGATTCTCAAGGCCTATAGAGACTCTCCGGATGACGAGTGGCTCTCTGCAGCGATCGACTGCCTGGAATACCTTCCAGACCCCACGGTGGTGGCTGTAAGCAGAAGCTTCCCGAGCAGAAGCTTCCCGAGCAGCCCGACAGAACAGACCTGGTGAAGGAGCTTCTGTTTGATGCCACTGGCAAACACTACAGTAGTAGGGAGCCTCTACTGAATCACTTATCTGATGTTCATAATGGAACTGCAGAACTCCTAGTAAATGGGGAGACTGAAATAGCGTTAGAGGCTACTCAGCTTTTTCTGAACCTTTTGGATTCCCAAAATAGAGAAGAATTTAGATGGCTACTGTATTTCATGGCTGTTGCAGCACATCCTTTAGAATTTAAATTACAGAAAGAAGAGTCGGGGATTCAGCTCAGTGGTTTTGCCGCCTATCGCGCAAGTGCAAGGGCCAGAGTTCGATCCCTGGTACTAAAAAAATAAATAAATAAATAAATTACAGAGAGAAAGTGATAATCGAATGGTTGTGAAAAGGATATTTTCAAAAGCTATTGTTGACAATAAAAATTTATCCAAAGGCAAAACTGAGCTTCTGGTACTCTTTTTAATGGATTATCAAAAAGATGTTTTTAAGATTCCTGGAACTCTACATAAAATTGTTAGTGTTAAGCTTATGGCAATACAGGAAGGAAAAGATCCAAATAAAGACACAAGGTATATTTGCTGCCAGAGAATTGATCCAAGTGTCTATTCCAGCAGCACACAGAAGAAAACCAAAGATGAACTGTTGAATTTACTAAAAGCTATTGATGAGGATTCAAAACTATCTGCCAAAGAGAAGAAGAGATTGCTAGGTCAGTTCTATAAGTGTCATCCAAATATTTTTACTGACTATTTTGGAGACTGAAATGTCTGTATATAAATTTTGTATTTTAAGGATAAATTATGTATCCCAAAGATCTAGTCACATTTGGAAGTTCTAAATATGAAACTGTACTTAATAAAAAGTTAGAAAAAAGGCCGAAGATTTAGCTCAGTGGTTCTGCTGCCTGCCCCACAAGGGCAAGGACCTGAGTTCGATCCCCGGTACCAAAAAAGAAAGTTGGAAAAAAAAAGAAATTAGAAAATATCTTGAGAAAAACATCAACAAAACATAACAAAAACGGTACTAAAATGTTCATAGTTATAAATATTACATTAAAAAAGAAAAAAGATCTCAGGTAAACAGCCCAATAGTTAGAGAAAAACAAAGATAAGCCCAAAGATAGTAAAAGTAAAACAGAAAAAAGAAAAAAAGATTAAAGCAGATAAATTAAATAGAAAATGGGAAAAAAATCAATGAAACTATATGAGTTGGTTTTTTGGAGAAGATAAACAAAGCTAAGAAAAAAAAGAGAAGACTAAAATAAAATCAGAAATGAAAGAAGAGACGCTCCAATTGATGCCTCAGAACAAAGAGGATTTTGAGAGTACTAGGAACAGCAAGCCTGAGAATGTCAGAGAAATGGATAAATTTCTACAAACATATGACATAGCAAAATGGAGTCAAAAAGAAATAGAAAGTGTGTACATATCAAGAGGTAGCAAGAAGACTGAATCAGGAAGCGAAAATTTCCCAAATAAAATCTCAGCACCAGATGGCTTTCTGGGTGAATTTTACCAAACATTCAAAGAATTAATATCAATTCCTTTAAAATGCTTCCAGCAAGGAAAAGAGAAGGAAGGAGGGAGGGATGGGAGGGGAAGGAAGGAAGGCAGGAAGGCAGGCAGGCAGGCTTCCAGTCCATTTTATGAGGTCAGCATCACCCTGTTGCCACAAGCAGATAAAGACACCTCAAGAAAAGAAAGCTACACATCAATATTCCTAATGAATATTAATGCAAAAATCCTCAACAAAGTGTAGCAAATCAAAGCCAAAAGTACATTAAAAGGTACATATGTCCCAACCAAATTTATTGTTAGAATGTAAGAATGGCTCATCATGAAAAAGATCATTAATGTGATATACCATATTAATAGAACAAAAGAAAAAAACATTTGAGAAAATTCAACACCCTTTCATAATAATAAAAAATGCCCAACAAATTAGAATAGATGAAACTGTCTTACTATGAGAAAGCCTGTATGTGAAATTCCTCAGCAAAAGCTGTACTCAAAGATGAAAAACTGAAAGCTTTTCCTTTAAGGTCAGAAACAAAGCAAAGATGCTACTTTGACCACTTCTATTCAATATCATATTATAAGTACTGTCCATAGAAATTAGGCAAGAAAAGAAATAAGAAGCATTTGAATTGGAAAGGAAGCAGTAAAACTGTCTGTTTGCAGATGCCATGATCATATATACAGAAAATATTAACTAAAGATTCCATAACTAGTTGTTAGAACTAATAAATAAATTTAGTTAAGCTGCAGGATATAGAATCAATCTACAAAAATCAGTTGCATTTCCATATATTAAACAATTGAACTATCTGAAAAGGGAATTTGGAAAATAATCCCATTTACAATAGAAGCAAAAAGAGTAAAATATCTAGGAATAAACTTAACCAAGGAGGTGAAAGACTCATATACTCAAAACTTGAAATGCTGATGAAAGAAATTAAATACAAAGGAAAGACATCTTGTGATTGTGGTGTGAAAGACTTAATATTGTTATATATTCATACTACCCTTTATAGGTTTAAAGGAATCTGTATTACAAGTCCAATAGCACTTTTACAGAAGTTGAAAAAACAATTCTAAAATTCATATGGAACTACAAAATACCACGAATAGCCAAAGCAAACCTGAGAAAGAACAAAGCTGGAGGGATCACACTTACTGATTTCAAAATATATTACAAAGCTACAGTAATCAAAACAAGGATGGTACTGGTATAAAGATGGACAAACAGATCAAGGGAATAAAATTAAGAGTGCAGAAATAAATTCATATATTTAGAGTCAACTGACTTTGGGGGGTAACAGGAATCAAGCTCAGGACCTTGTGCTTGTCAGGGAGGCACAGCCCCTCAACTGACTTTCATCAAGGGTTCCAAGAATATACAATGAAGAAAGGATAGTTTTTCAACAAATACTGTTTGGAAAACAAGATGCCCATGTGCTAAGAACAAATTTGGAACCTTATCTTATGCTACACATAAATATCAACCCAAAAGAGATTAAATACTTAAATGTAAGACCTGAAACTATAAAATTTCTGGGAGAAAACATACAGGAAAAGCTTCATGATATTCATCTTGGCAATAATTTTGTACACATGACACCAAATGAACACGAAACAAAAATAAACAAGTGAGATTACATCAAACGAGCTTCTTCACAGCACAGATAACAATCAATAGAATGAAGAGACAACCTATAGAATTGGAGGAAATATTTTCAAACCATATATCTCACAAGGGATTAATACAGAAATATGCAGGAAACTCCTACAACAATAAAATTCCATCAATAGTAAAAAAAAAAATCCAAAACCTAATAACTCAATTAAAGACAGGCTTAGGACTTGAATAGACATTCTCCCAAAGAAAACACAAATGACTGACAGGTACATGAAAAGGTGCTCAATATTACTAATTATTAGGGGAATGTAATTAAAACTACAGTGATATTATCTCATGTCTGTCAGTGTGACTGTTATAAAAAAAAGATTAAGTGTGAGGATGTGGAAAAATTGGAACACTTGCACATTATTCATGAAAAATAACATAGCCAATTCATGTGAAATAACACAGCCAATATAGGAAACAGTATAGAGGTTCCTCAAAAAATTAAAACGAAAACTACCATATGATCCAGCCATATTATTTATCCAAAAGAATTAAAATCAGGATTTGGAAGATGTATTAGCACTCTTATGTTCATTGCAGCACTATTTATGGTAGCCAAGATACAGAAACAATTTCAATGTCCATCGACAGTTGAATGGATTAAGGAAATGTGGTTATATACAGTAGATGCATACTGTGTGTATGTATCTTTTAAAAAGTAGGAAATTCTGCAATACAGGAAATACAGGGATGAACCTTGAGGGCATTTTGCTAAGTGACAAAAGCTAGTCACAGAAAGACAAATAGTGTATCATTCCACTTACATGAGGTATCTAAAGTGATCAAATTCACAGAATCAAAGAGAGGAATGATGATTTCCAGGGACCAGGATGAGATGGAACAGGGCAGCTCCTGTCAAAGGGCACGAACTGTCAGTCAAGCAAGATGAATACCTAGAGATCTGCTTACAACATTGTACCTATAATCAACAATAACGTATTGTACACTCAAAAACTATGCTGAGAGAGTAGATCTCATCTTACCACAATAAAATTAAGAAAACCAACCAAAGAAAATCAACCTGAGAAATGAAGGCAACTAAATTTCTCCAACTGGACAGGGAAGTGAACTCAAGAATCCTTTTTCTTTCTGCTCACTCATTTCTAGCCTTGGAGTTAGCACAGACAGGGACAGTTTGCACGTGCTTTGCCCCCAAGAGTCTCTGTGTTAAGAGCTTGGTCCCCATGAGGCAATGCGGGAGCTGATGGAACCTTCAAGTGCTGGGTCCTAGCAGGAGGCTCTTAGGTCATTGAGGGTGTGGCCCTTGGAAGGCAACACTGGTCTTCTACAGTGAGTTTTTGAAAGACTGAGTTCTTATACAAGTCTGAGCCTAATCCCTGAGTCTCTCTCTGGCTTATTTCACAACATGACTTCTATCTCCGGCACTAAAGTCAGAAATCTGTCATATAATCAACAGAGGAGCCACACTGTTTGGACTTTTAGTGCCCAAAACTGAGGACCAGATGAGACTCTCCTATTTACACAGTTAGCCTCAGTTATTTCATTGTAGTGGGCAATCACTACCCCTTGCCTCCACCAAGTGATCAGAAAAAGACGCCAGTGATATAAACCATCTTCTCTCTAAAGGCTCACTTTTGAAGGCATTTCTTATCTAACCTTTCAATTACCAAAATGCAATAGGATACCCTTAGTTCCATTCAGCTTTCAGCTCATGTGTCAGTTTATGCAAAAGGAGATGTTGAACATCTGCTGCATGCAAGTTGTTAGGCATTGGAAGGATGAAAATTAGTAAGACATAGTTTTTGACCTCAACCAACTTATGGTTCATGGTGGGGGCAGGCTGAGATGGATGGTCTGACAATTCCAACAATTATTTTGCAAATAACAAAAAAATTTCCTCTTCTTTCCTTCACTTTATGTGCCTGGTGTTTCAGGTCAAAATATATCATGCAAAAGGTGCTTGGGTACCATGTGACTATTTCACAAATGAACTTGACCATGGAGATCAATAAACAGCTGGCTGAATGAGCACTTTGAAACTCTGTAAGTGTTTCAATTGTCTATCCTTTTGGGGGGCATCTGTTTGGAATTCCAGTGAACCCTCTAACAGGACTGACACTAATCTATTCCTGGTGTACCCCATGTTATCCACCTTGATTCACACACTAGGGTTCCCCATCAGGCATCATTCTGATCCGGTTCTGCCCAGTGCTCTCTCCAGTAGTAAAGTGGCCTGAGCGTAACAGTGTGCACAGAAAAATAAATAGTTCTGCTTCTCCAAACCATCTGCCACCAAGTCTCTTCCAGCTCCTCCCTAGCAAATGGCTGTTTAGTTTAAACTTATGTTCACATTAGGTCTTCATCTTCCATTTAATCTCATTTTGATTGTTTCTATTTCAAAGAAACACCCACGACCAGGAAATCTCCTGGAAGGGAGTATTGAAAGTCATCTTCAAGTTCAGTTGACAATCTTTCAAAGGTGGCATTTTGTATGTCTTAAAATAGAACACCTAATGTAATGGAGTTTTGCTGAAATGATTGCTGGGAACTGTAATAGATACTGGAAGTCACCTTACACTCAGAATATTTAATGGTTTGGAGAAGTGCTATCACAT